GTACCTCTCAAAATTAAATTACATTTGCTAAGTATTTGCAAAACATGCGAATTTCTGAGACACTCCAATACAGAAACCTTGCTTTGTGGACAGTTCCCCAGCTTTCTCCTGGTTCATAAATAAGTCCACAACAGCAGCTCCTAAACTGTAGTTCACTGCAAGTGTCACATCCTGTGATATGGTCCACAGAGTGATGTCAATTTTGTCACAGTTTTAAATAAGTAATGATGATAGTAAGGGTAGATGGTGGCTTGTGGAAAAGGTGTGGCTTTGACATGGGTCTGGATTCCCTCCACCCCTGTACTTCCACATAGAACTCTCCTCCTGTCTGTGCTGATGAATGGATCTAAGGGACCTACAGCAGAAAGCAATGCTGGTTTTCATCCAGGAAGATTTTTTTCAGAGACCTCAGGGATGTTCTTCCTCCGAATTTGGCTGGCACTTGCGTGCCAGTACACCCCAGCTGAACTGCAAATGAAAATGTCTTGATGGAATACACTGACAGGGAAAGCCTGCAGCAGTGGTTTGACCTGGCTTACTCAGAACATAAAAAATCATAATCATCACAGAGCATGTGGAATCCAACAAATCATCTCCAGTGTTAAAATGTCTAAGAAGGCATTATGGACATCGCAAACAAATTAACTGACATAATCAGCCAGATCATCAGCTGGTATAAATTGGCAGAAATCCACAGTAGCAACATAAGTTTGGTAAAGCTAACCTGAATTACACCACCCGAAAGACTCGGATTTTTTCCACCATTGTTCATATGAAATAACCTGGGTATCTTAAGCCTTTCTTGGTTTTGTTTTTGAGTTTGTTACCCCCTTCTCCCTCCCTCTCCCCCTCACTTTATTTTTACATGAATTTTGTCTTTATATACACAGACATGCAAATAAATTAAAGAGTCAAGTCTCCATTCCATCTGCTCTACAGCAAACCATTTGTTGCTCTTTAAATGACAGCTGCTTGGCCCAGAAACAAGTTTGGCTGCCACTGTGCAACACACATGTGTGCTGCTGGCACAGCAGCAGAAATCCCCAGCTCGGCACTGCCTTGCCCGCTCCCAGTCAGCCTATGCCCTGCCCCGGCACCTCGCTCCCAGGGAACAGGGCTATGGGTCAGTCAGGCGGATGTCACTGAAGAGTTCCCCAGAACAGGAAACATTTCCCCCTGTTGTTTGTTATTCATAGTAAGGACAAGAGGTCCTGCTCTAAAAACATGCTTTTGTGGCAAAATAAGAATAGCATAAGAATTGCCTCAAAATGTCTAGGACTAGTTCATAATTTCAGATTTATGAAACTCTCAAAGCTCTGTGAAACTGTAGTGATGGTGTCCACGATAGGGGGCTTATCAAATTTCTGCATTAGGAGTTTGCCGCTAAGTTTTATTAATTAAAATTATCTGCTCTCACCCTCTTGAATTAATAAAATGCATCTGGCATTCATTACAATATTACAGGCCATGGTTGTTATGAAAATATAGTTGCTAGGATACCTTCATAATTTCATCCTCACGTTATACTGGTCTATCAATTGATGAAGAAACACTTGAGATACTTCTCAGTGCATCTAAGCACATTCTTCGTGTGTGACTTCCCTTGTCTTGTGTGACACTTCTCTGTGCGGTCACCTTTGAGCCACAACGTGGGAAACAATGGCCACATCAATTTGCAATGTATAGTAATGGTGAAGCTTCTCCGCTTGGCATTTTCTCATTTTGGTTAAAGTGAGAACAGAAAAACAGATGTCTTTACATCCCATCTTGATCTACTGAATGGACCTGAAAATATAATGCTTTTTCAGGGGCAATTTTACAAATGTATGCTATCCATTATCCATTTAAAACTTTTTATTGTACAACCTCAGCAGTATAAGGCCTATTAAAAAATGGGATTCTGCAAAATTGTATATTTCTCAAGGCAGTTATCTAATAAAGTACATGAGTTATTCTCATTAGATGCAAAGAAGCAGCCAAAGCTCTGGAAATAGTTGGTCCCAGAACTGAATTTGTTTGAACGTCTGATGAAATCTGATAGACTACAATGGAAACTCACCTTGGATACACATGGTAAGCATTAGCCTCTGCGGGAACACAGGGCCTGTGCAACACAAACCTCCTGACACTTACAGTCTAAATGGAAATTAAGTAGGAAGCAGGCATTATACAGACCTTCTGGTATACTGAATTTCACAAGCGAAGCAGAGTGCACACCCTTTACATCATTTCCAGATTAGGATTGGAAAGCTGGTAAATATTCCATCTGAACATCAGTCAGTGAACACTGAGAGACAGAGAATAAACAAAAACCATAGCTGCACTTCAAGCTGTTTTTTTAGCAGTTTGACCAAATATAGTGCCATGATCAAGTGAACAGACAGAGCAGCTACTGACATTTTCAGATAGATCACCACATCTAAACAGCTGATCTATAAATAGTCTACTCACAGTATTGCAGCACATGTTGACCACACAGATGTGATCTTGCAAAGCAAGTACCAGAGACTGTACGCAGCTGTTTTCACTTGGTTAAAGCCTGTGTGGTCTTTCCTTCAAGACAAAAAAAACCACGTTGTATTTTTTTGGAAAAAAAAATAATAATAAATTAGAAGTCCTACTGCATGGACTAACAGATTAAATACATGAAATAGTTAATTTTGTCCTGAATATGATCAGTGATTCAATCAGCAAATAAAGGATCTCAAAGAAACAAGCAGCTTGCATAAAACATTAGGAACATATTCCCACAGCACTCCAGAAATTTCACAGGATATTAATAATTTGACATGACTACGCATGATTTGTTGAATACACAAGCATGTTTAAGCAGACAGAAGGAGCACCTACAACTGCCTGAGGAGCACTTCCTACACCCAAGAGCCTGACTTTTCAGGGTGCTTTGTGTTAAGAAGTAATGTTACGAAGTAACTCCTGGCTCTCACTGAAACCCTGGGGAGATGCGGAAGCTCAGAGCTTGCATAAGACGTGCAGAGCACTGAAGATGGTCAGAACTTAGCTCCGGGAACTGTGGACCAAAATTTGGGTGATACCAATCTCTTCCTGGGAATCTTAAGAAAAATGGTTTCATTTTTCCCGTGCTTTCCAGGAGCAGCTTTAACACCCTCTGCTTGACTGTTTGCTGTGGAGGAGAAACAGCCTGACAAGAAGAGCCTCTGTGCTTAGAGCTCCCGCTGCAGTGTCATCAGGTGAGGGTTGTGCAGTGATCTGCTCCCTTCTGCCAGTGATTACCAGCCCATCAGCTTGTCTGTCATGAGCTGCATCTGAGGAGTTCCACAGCCTGTGTCAGGGTATGAACACGCCTGCTGCATACCAGAATGTGGACTGGTGGCTTCCCTCCTAAGACATGGCAAAGGAAAGTCACCAATCTCTGGGCTATCCCAGCCCAAAGCTCTGATCGTCTATACATCTGCACAGTCCTATCCTTCACTGCATGTAGTGCCAGCCTGCATACCCACTTTATACGGGCATGTAACAGTACTGGGGAAAAAGACAAAATAAGGCTCCGTTGTACATGATAAAAACTTTATTTGCTACTGACTGGCATGTTTGTTTATCTCCTAGATGATGACGCCACGAGTAAAATATCTATATGATCTCAAGCAAGTACTGATTACATTTCCTGCAATGTAAACGAGCTTCACACGTTTCGCTTTCTTCCCAATATTCCACTTCTTCCACTGTTCTATGTGCGCTCTTTATTCTATTTGTGTTAGGACATTGCTTTTCATTGTCACATTCTCCACCCTCCTGTTATTATCAACTCTTCTGCCCTTTGTTTATGTCATGCCCATTCTTTTTTCATTAGGCCGTAATTATAGCCTGTGTCTATAGCTTTCTGCCTTTGGCTGTTTATAGAACTGGTTTTCTGCCTCTCTGTCATACACACACATGACTCCTTCTTTAGATCTCAACTTCTGTACAGTCATCACCTTTTGAAAGCGCAAAGCAGCACAATTAGTCATTGTAACAAGTTTTCCAAGGCTGGAAGGTCACATTACAACTCTTAAACTTCAGTGGTTTAGATGTTTTGAGATGCAATGTGAAAAATGTCTTTGATCTTTTTATTGCCTTGGTAAACTTTTTATGGGGCAATCCATTTACCTAGTCCATTAGAGAGCTCAATAAAATATTCTGTGCACAAAAATACTGCACTTCACCAATTATATATATATATCTTTCCTCTGTAAAATTTACACTTCTATGCAAAAGTCTAAAATATTTTATGAATACGAATTATTCCAACCTCAAAGCCCATCACTGCAGCAAATTAGTTGATACTTAAATTTCTCAGTTCTTTTAATCCATGGTATTACCATCCAGTTTTGAAAGTCATGTCTCTCACTTAAGAAAAATTAAGCCTTACACCTGATAAGCGTGCAGTTGCTGGAATTGCAAATACAAGTTTGCTGCTTTTACATGAAACTAATCAGCTCCAACGTATCTCTGGTCAGCTGTTACCCCATTTGTATGCCCACAAGGGCATCTGCAATTTCCACACACTCCATTCTAAAAGGCCAGACTTCAGAGATTAATGCAAACTCACAATACAAGCCAAAGATGGAACTGGAGTCTCCAGTTTGGAGTCCTTTTTGCCAGATTCAATATATACATTAAAAGTGTAAATATATATGTGATAGTGGCAGCATCATCTCCTCTCACATCCAAAATTATCTGGTTTTGAATTCCAGACAGCAGAAAGGAAATTGCTGGAAATTACAGAACTCTGGACCCTGTTGATGATGGCCCCTTCAAACTAACTCAGGTCTTTCTGTTTGTGCCACATCAGCAACATGAAGTAACTGCAAAGGCATCTTCAGTGCTCAGGGAAGGTTCCTTCCAAGTCTGAGGAGTGTCTTCTCATAAAGTGAGAAGCTCAGAAACTGGATTATACCTTAGAGTGTAGGAAAAGTTGGATTTTACTTCTCAGATGATCCCTGGGGCTAACCAGGGACTGAAAGCAGCAGTGTGGGTCCAACATGGAAGAAAAAGTGTCATTCTTGTCACTACTACGAACAAGGGAAAGGTAGAGTTAAAGACTGGTACTAGCAGGAGGATCCCATCACCTTTAGCCCCTTCAGTAGTCACCACAGCCCTAGACATCCAGACCTGCTGGTGGCAACATCCACTGCAGGTCTAGAAAAGGGGCCACAAAAGTCACAGCTATTTTACTGCCTCAGCAGTCATACCGTAGGCAGGTACCTCCTGTGTATCTGTGGCAAGTTTGATGTGCGCAGAAGGTTGATACAGCCTCAGACAAACATCTGCTGACATCTTCGGAAGTTCATATTTAAATCACATGCCAGTCCAAGATTAAAGAATTTTAAGGTGGCACAAAACTATCACTGTCTCTGTTGTGCAACAAGGATTATTTGTCCCAGCCCACGACTACAGATCTATTTTACTGTCCCCTTTCTCAGTCACTGAATCAGTTGGATACTTTTTTCCCTTTCTTCCCTTTCTCTCAGTTTCTGACAGTGCTCTACTACCATGCCACCACTCCCATCACAGGTCTATTTTCCTCTCTTCACCTCTACGTATTTGCTCTCCAGCTTGGCCTCCATGTCACCTCCCTCCCTCTGCCTACTGTCCCCCAGTGTCCTTTGAGCTCACCCAACCTGCTCCATGGATTTCACCCTCCCAGGTGTGCAAGCACTGAACATGCTGCAGGCTTTGCATACTTGGCTTTTCTGCCTGGTTTCAGTCTTGTGCTTGTCTGTCCGCCTTCTCTCTTGCTGCAGTATTTTCCCTTACTTGAGGTTTCCCCATTCCCCCTCCCTTCTTCTTCTCCCTAAAAGCTCAGTGCTGAAAAGACCTTTTCCATGAGCCACCTTCATGCTAGAGCCAGCTGCAGGCATTGCCATTCACTTAGTGCATGTGATACATCCCCCGCCTCTTTCCTCCTTCCCCTGCTACTGCAGCGTTTGACCTGTATTATAAAGATATGTTGTGCTGCAAGAGGAAGCATGGTGACACCAGCAGTCATTTAATTGGTTGGGTGAGAGGATGAACTGCAATTATCTCATATGCTCAACTAATTTTAGGTGGCAAGGATTCTATGGCAAGCATGATATCTAAGAGGTTCACAATATGTCACAGTATTAGTGACTTAAATACATGTAAGACTTATTGCCAATGCTTCCAGCATCACAAACTTTTATAAACACAGATTTATTCGTCAAACAAAAGGAAATAACCTAAAATAAATTATCCCTATTAAGCAATGTAACCTAACAGGTATAGTGATATCAGTGACTTGACTTATTTAAACCATGAAGATGCTGTGGTCCTGGAAAAACCAAACAATTTCTTGGCAATAGTAGGCAGCAGCATGAGGCCATTAATTGAAAGCCTAGTTATGGTCCTGCAGTACGTATTGTAATCCCACTAGGCATCATGTAAAATTATTTTTATAAAATCAGAAAAACTTTTGAAAAGCTTAGAACCACAGAATATAAATCTAAAATGACAGGGTGAAATTTTGCAATACTTCAGATACTACATAAATACAATTTTAAGACCTTCAAATTTGTCTCTTCATTATACTTATGATGTAGGAATGGATGAACCCATTGATTTCAGTGCTTAAGTTCTCATTCTCTGAAAACAGAAAACAAAGCTCAGGTTAAGTCTAAGGAGATCATTCTCTGTTGCTGTGAGTATCACAATTGTGAGTACATATAATAGATTTATCTCCAGTCCTCTTTGGTGACAATGTCCCTGTGGTAGATACAGGAATTGTTTACACTCAGAGGTAACATCAGCATTTTATTTAATATAGAAAGAGTCTGACCTTTGTCAGTCGCTGCTGGGATCTACTCAGGTGAAAAATCTGGAGAAACATACCAGTATATATCAAATCAGTTAAACTGATTTTCACCTACACCTTCCCTACCAACTCTGCCCAATACTACTAAAGTATTAATCATTAGATCTTTGTATAAAATGTCAAGTACTGAAAGTGGCATTCCTAAAATGTGTTAAGACAACTAAATAAGTCTACAAACCTTATACTATGTCTGTATTTGATACAAGAGAAGTAAAGGAGTATATCTCAATATCTTTTCCATTAAATTGGAAGCTAGGGAGGTCATAGTTGAAAAATATTCTGCTTCTCAAACTGCATAGTATACCTACAATACCATAGCATGAGCTGAGTGCCAAGCACTGTTCTCAGGCATCACACTGCAAAAGCAATGGAGGGACACTCATGGTTTTATACATATTATGTTCTAAACAAATATTTTATTTCCCAACTTAAGCAATGTCAATGCAAGCATTACTCATTCAGGAAGTCTGTTTAGATTTGCAGAAGTCCTTGTTGATTCTGAATGTTGTACACTAAAATTTATTTTCTTCTTGTGCCTTGATATGAATTATTTCAGCTTTATAATGTATGCACATACATGTAGAACAGTGGGAAGATGAATAATGTGCCATCTTCTGAATTCAGGATCTAGGACATGAAAGGCTTGTTCAGTACAATGTTCCATGTCATACAGTCCAGGACATACAGTCTAGGAGTTAACTTTGAAGCAGAGACATAGGTCAAAGTCTGCATGAGTACAGAGGATTGTGGCATGATCTGGCTCATTTCCTGGTCATGATCTCACTCCTCATCTTGAACACAACCTCTCTCCACAAGCATGCTTTCCACTGGAAACGAGTTTTGGCCTTGGTCTTCGATCTTTTCTGACCTGGACAAAGTGCACTGATGATGACTGCCCTGTTAACATCTTCCTGAAGACAAACAGCAAGTTCTGTAACTCCTGAAAAGTTTGGTAACCATGGTTTTGTGGTAAGGAATCAGGAATTTTACCCCACTAGTATTGATACAGCATGAAGGAACAGGCTTTCAAAAGCCAAAAGAAGCCAGCAAAAACTATCTAGCTCTACTCTCACTCAGTTTCTCCCTGCTGGGTTCCCCACATCAAACCTCTTCACAGTTCTCTTCACAGATATGTATTTATAGAGTTTGAGTCTGACAACGTGGCCAAAACTGTTGCAGACACAGTGAACAACTACCTGTTTTCTGAAAGACTGCTGAAATATCAGTTCATAGCTCCTGAAAGGGCCCATGAAAACCTCTTCAAAAACAGCAAGAAGACATTCTGGAAGCTGTACCAGCCTGCTGTCAGGCGGTACAATAGGATACATTCACTCATTCAGAAGGCAAAGATGACAAAGAGGTTGCTGCAGAAGAAGAAACCCTTATGGAAGAGGGTGGCTGAAGAGGGGCTCAATTATATCTTCCCAGGATTTGCTGCACAGGAGCGTTCCTTAAAGAGAAAGAAAGTTAAAACATCGAAGGAGTCAGAAGTGGACATTTCTTTGAGTAGCCAGGATCCTACTCCAGTCTGTACTCCGACAGTGCTCGAGCAATGGAGAGCTGCTCAGGTGGATGGTGATGTGGAGGACAATGAAATAACTCTCGAACTGCCCCCTGCCAGTACTAAGAATAGTGTGCTGTGAACAAAGAAGCAACCAAGAAAAGGACCAAACCTGAAGAAACAGAAATAGACTTAAATTTGGGTGGCTGTAGCCATGGTTTTTCTCAACTCAAAGTGACTGAGTTGGTGTTTCTAAAGGTTCTGCTGACCTGGTTTGGTTTGTCATGACTAGACTGTTTCCATGTTTCATAGGCAAGGGATCTTTTTATAAGTCCTCTCCCTTCTGTTTATCCATCATCGGCCTCATGGTCTCCTCTGCCTTTGAAGATGTTTTTGACTTTGTGCTCATAAGTGCCCATGCTGTGAAATGCCTACAGTCGTGCCAGAACTTCATCTAATTCTGTAACTTGTCTCTAGCACTCACTGTATTGAAACTAGCTCAGGCTGTCCAGGCAGACCTTGCTGATATAGACTGCATCTTACATTTGTAAATAATTATGGGTTATAAAAAAAAACAAAAAAGAAATTTACCTTTTTTTTTTTTTTTTTTTTTCCAGCTGGAGACCAGTAATGACTGATGTCCCACAGGGATCAATGTTGGGACCAGTCTTGTTCTACATCTTTGGTGGTGACATGGACAGTGGGGTTGAGTGCGCCCTCAGCAAGTTTGCCGATGACACCAAGCTGTATGGTTCGGTTGATACGCTGGAGGGAAGGAATGCCATCACGCTTGTGAGGTGGGCTGATGCCAACCTCATGAAGTTTAACCATGACAAGTGCAAGGTCCTGCACCTGGGTTGGAGCAATCCCAGGCACAGCTACAGGCTGGGCAGAGAAGAGATTCAGAGCAGCCCTGCGGAGAAGGACTTGGGGGTGTTGGTCAATGAGAAAATGAACATGAACCAACTGCAGTGTGCGCTTGCAGCCCAGAAAGCCAACCGTATCCTGAGCTGCATCAAAAGGAGTGTGACCAGCAGGTTGACGGAGGTGATCCTGCCCCTCTACTCTGCTCTCGTGAGACCTCACTTGGAGTATTGTGTGCAGTTCTGGTGTCCTCAACATAAAAAAGACATGGAACTGTTAGAACAAGTCCAGAGGAGGACCACGAGGATGATCAAGGGACTGGAGAACCTCCCATATGAAGATCAGCTGAGAAAGTTGGGGCTGTTCAGCCTGGAGAAGAGAAGGCTGCGTGAAGACCTCATAGCAGCCTTCCAGTATCTGAAGGGGGCCTATAGGGATGCTGGGGAGGGACTCTTCATTAGGGACTGTAGTGACAGGACACGGGGTAATGGGTTAAAACTTAAACAGGGGAAGTTTAGATTGGATAAGAGGCAGAAATTCTTTACTGTAAGTGTGGTGAGGCGCTGGAATGGGTTGCCCAGGGAAGTTGTGAATGCTCCATCCCTGGCAGTGTTCAAGGCCAGTTTGGACAGAGCCTTGGGTGACATGCTTTAGTGTGAGGTGTGCCTGCCCATGGTAGGGAGGTTGGTACTAGACGATCTTAAGGTCCTTTCCAACCCTAACTATTCTATGACTCTATGATCCTGTGATTCTCAAGACTGCTCAGTCCTAACCCTGATGGTGATTTCTTTTTACTACCTCATCTTTCCAGTACTGACTCCCTATGCATAACATATAGAGGTACCAGGATTTAAAAAAAATATCTGTACCGTCTTATGTCACCTTTTTCCTATTCATTTTGATCCTCTTGCTGAACTAAAGGTACCCTTTATATCATCCAGGAGACATATCACAGAGTCATCTGTCTCATTATATGACACCCCTGGCACTCACTCACTTCATCTGAAGAGGAACTCTGCACAGGGCAAAATGAATCTCAGTTCCACCCTCATAAAGATCCAGTACATCCTGGGACATGGTGTGCATGTATTTATTGATACAGCAATCATGGCAAGTCAAATTCTCTTTCTGTGTATTTAACGGAGACATTATTATTCTGCCCCCTTTTCCTCATTATAATGAAATCCTACCTTGAATTTAATAACTAAAATAAATCTGCTTGAGTCAGGCCAAGAGCTAAGTTAGTATGCTTCCCAAGGACCATCTTAGCTATGCAATGGAGAGATGACACTCTACATCAGCCAACATATGATAACCTATCTTTAATTTCTCTCTGCTCTGGTGCTATTATCTCGCCTCTGCCACAGCTGCATATTGCTATTGTCAGTGGTAAAGACAAGACATCTCTAATTAGAGGGCAGAATAAATTGCTTTTATCTACTTTTAACTTACATTTACATGGCACCTGGTACACAAGTCTTAGCTAGGCAATGATAATTTGAAAAGCAAATCACTGCTTGGAGAAATATGATACATTTTAAAAAGAAAATTAAATGTATAGAATAGCAGAATCAACATATTGGAGATTGCTGAGCTTTAAAGCTGTCAGAAGTCTTGTATTCTTATGTTTTATATTGAGTTAAAATAAGCAATCACAGTCTATATACCCAGCAGTTTCTCTCCCTCTGTCTTTCTGGATGATCCAAAGAGCAAGCTGTGATTTTGGAACTATACATGCAACACAGCAAAGACACCCTTGCCATGCAGCAGCTCTGTCTTCTCTGGTGGTAAGTCCAACTGAACAGTTTTAAAACATGCTTTACAGGATCAGCATTGACTCATGCAGATTCAGCCCTGGAATAAACCCATCCTGTACAGTACAAGTCCGCACTGTACCATGGCTAACAAAAATGAAATAAAAAAAGATAAAAAATGCAATGACAAATATTTATCTCTGGAGAACAAAACTTATTAACAAATGATTCACCTGTTCTAATGACCCACCTGTTATAGGAAAACAACAGATTAGCTGCTAATGTCCAAAAGTCACAGATTTTTGGCCAACAGCAACTATCAAACATCAGTCAAAGATTTCAGTTGTCCATTACCTGAGTTCAGTTCACATAACTGGGAGTGCATGACTGCTATACTAAAACCACACTGTTCCATCCCTTTGCTCAACATCAGAAAGTATCAAGTGCTCTTCCATGAAAGGCATCACTACAGAGACATATAATTCTTTATAACGCACTGTCAGTTGGCTTCATCTTCACTCACAGTCAGGCAGAACTCATACTTCTAACACATCCTCCAGGCTTTTGATTACACTTTCTTCAAAATCTGTTGAGCTTGTCTGATTGTTAGAAGCTTTCTGAGATGCAAAATTTCATAGATCCAAATGGTGACTGGGCCAAATTATTTTATTTGTTATTTACTGCAACTTAGCAGTTTGGGAAGTCTATAGAAACATCCAAGAGTGACAGCTTGCAGGGAAAAGCTCAGTAGAGCTTCTGCTGTTAGTTTAATGAAAGGGAAATCTCTTTGCCTCCAGACTATGATTTCTGGCCCAATTTTCTCCTGTGGTGGTGTGCACATTACATAACAAATTCAAAGAGCTATAATCTGCAGTGTGTACCAGTTGCTGCCTATTAGAAATCCAAATGCAGTGCTGGTAAAATAGGGCCGAGGAAAACACCCCAGGCTGGGATAGAGCATTGATCACATTGGATGAGCTTCCACCTAAAGCTATAAAAGACCTTGTTTTCCCTAGCTCATTTCCATGCAATGTCCTGCAAAGAAAAACCACTTGTTTTCAGTCCTTTTTAATGTATAGCTAGGTATCCGTTTAATCAGACCTAGACTGGGTCAGAAAGAAAACGAGCCAAGCAGTTTCACTGTGGCATACTATTAATTTCCCAAAGCCTCCATAAACTGTAAAAGAGGTGCTGTGTATGCAGACTCACTGACCAGAGCAGCAGGAATGCATCGGGTGATAAGTGATGAGAGAGTCAGCGCCCTTGTGGTGGTGGTCTGAGACAGTAAGGAAAGATTTTCTTGGAAAATGAATCTCTAATAATGCCATTATTAATACTTAGGAGAGAAAGGCAGACTTTGGGAAGCAAATCTTTCTCTCACCTTCAAAACAAAGAAGGCATATATTTCAAGAACAGGTTAAGAAAAATTGCCCCAGTGATAACCTATGTTAATATACAAGGCAAGAAATGCCTGAATGGGATGTTAGTAAATACAATTTGCACAGCTGAGCAAAACTATCAAGTGTGGGTGACAAGATACTTTTAACAATGTTTGATGACTCAGATACAAAACACAAAGCTGCAAAACTGAAATTACAGTTTAATTGCCTGTCTCTAATAACTGTTTTTTAATATTTTTAAGAACAGTTGAAGATGATAATTTTGCTTAGGAAGTGAAACAGTTAAAACCTTAAAAATGCAAATTTCTGTAAAAGGTTTAATAAAGCAATCTCTAATAATCTCACCACAATCCAGTTTTGCATGGTATCCTGTTTTCACTTAGAGCACAAAGTAGACTATGCTTACTCAGCCAATGAACAGCTATGCTGCCTTCTTTGCCCTGTCCCATTTGCAGCCCCGTGATGCATACTGCTCAAACAACCTTCTAAAATCAGAATGATTAATGTTTCTCCAGTGCTCATCACGACGATATCCAAATCTTGTTCAATCACACTTATCTTCATAACAACCTTGTGAAATGACAGAATGGCTACTCTTTATGTTTCAGCTGGGGTCATGGGGCATAGAGATTAATCCTAACAGTGTGCACTGATGCTGAGTACCCAATCAGAGACCTCTGAGACCCTTTTCTTTGATTACTTAGTATTATCTTGCTCTTGGTACATTCAAACCAAAACTATCATTGATGTCACTTGGAGCAATGAGTTCTGAGCACGCATGAAAAATCTGTCTCAGATCAAACCCCTTAAAAGGCAAATTAGTGCAGAAGCTCTGCTTAGTATATCTTCTTCAGGGTCGTCTGGGGATGAGTCGTAGAGATGAGAACATAATCTGCTTCTTCACATAGGTATGTAGATATTAGTGCATTGATATACACATGTATATTCAAAAATATATGCATACACACTCATTTTATTAACTGAATTTTACAAGGAAGAAGATAAATTACACTGTTATTAAAAATAATAAGTACTTGTTAATAAGTACTTGTTTTTTGTTGTACAATAACAAGAAAAAACAAGAATGGCAAGTGTCTGCCACCTAAACGGCATGAAGTTTGGCATAACTTAGTCTTGCTTTGGGCTAATTTTAAATTATAAAGTTTTCCCCTGATTCTTTTTGTTTCTTTTAACCAATACATTGCTTTCCTGAAACATATCCCTTGTTTTTTCAGCTGGCTTTCTCTTTCTCGAGGCATTTATACCTTGTGAATACATAACTAAACAAAAGAATCAGATTAGATGGAGGAAGAAGCAAATTCAGCAATAGATAGCAACAAGCACTTTGCAGTGCTTATCATCAGTGAATAAGGTCTGCATGTTTCCCAGAAAAAGAATCATAAAGAAAACCACTGTAAATACATGGATAACCTCAATGAATTTAGTGTTACAGAAAAAAAAAGTGCCGTTTCAGGGGCTTCCAGGAGTA